TTCCAAGAGAAGTTATGATGATTCTTCCACCATGGATTATAAGTCTGAGAATAAAGATTATTCTGCGTCATAAACTTTATCTCTTCAATTTGTTGAGTGGTCGCAACACAATGCACAGTAAAATGGGGTCCACTACAAATCTCACATCTTACCGCTTGGATAGGTTGAACTTGAGCCACAGGTTGAGTACTCACCTTCATTGTTTTAAGCCTTCTTTCTACTTCAGCTTTGATTTGATCTTCCATGTTCACAACTTGAGTATCCATCTTCAAATCAATCATTCCTTCTAGTTTACTTACACTACTGTCATACAGCTCCAAATGCTCATTTGCATCAATGGCTTATATGATCTTCTTGATACCAGTGGATGTTGTAAAGTTTGATGAGCCACCAGCTGCTGAATTAATTAGTTGCTTAGTCTTCATCTTGAGACCATTCACAAACATTTGCATTTGTTCAGTTTTATCCAGGTTATGAGTAGGACATGCAACCAATAACCATTTGAACCTTTTGTACGCATCACCCAATGATTCTCCCTCCTTCTGTTTAAAATTCATGATATCATATCTTTTACGAATATAAACAGAGGCAGGGAAATACTCAATAAGAAAGGCCTTCTCCATCTCTTCCCAAGTAGCAATACTTCCTGCGAGTAATGAGTAAAACCATTCTTCAGCATCTTTAGAAAGAGTGAACGGAAACATTCTCAATTTTTTTGCTTCATTCGTGTGCCCGTCTATCTTGAGAGTAGTGCTCATAGTCAGAAATTTTTGTAGATGTTTGTTGGCATCTTCATTAACCTTTTCGGTGAAAGGTTTCCACTCAAGTTGGTTGATAGTGCTCGGATGCAACTGGAAATTGGCCATATTCACTGGTTGGTTTACAATTGTTAACCTACCAGCTGGTGTATTAGCCCCACCGTAATCACCAAGTAGTCTCTCTGCTGGTGCAACTTCACCCATAGTTTCAGTATCCGAGTCTGAACCTGCTAGTCTTGCTTGTCTATGCCTCATGTGTAGAGTTCTTTCTATCTTTGCGTCAAAAGAAAAATTAGCTGAGGATTCTCCTCGCATAAAATGTTAGACACAGATTAGTAATAACATAATGCAAAAATTAATAAAATAAACTAAAAAAAATTGGAAATAAAATTTTGGTCGCAGAGCGACAAAATTTCAATTGAATCACAATTGACTTATATTTCAACAGTCCCCGGCAACGGCGCCAAAAACTTGATCGGGAAAATAGCAAGTGTACTATTTTTCCAATGGAGTAATAAGGGAGAATTCCCTGAATATCGATCTCGAGGACTGTAGAGGAAACATAAGCTATAGAATAATTCAATTGAACAAAAGTAATTGGGGTTTTCAAATGGTTTTTCGTAATTATAAAAATATTTTCAAGTGAAAAGGGAAAATTGACGAAGTGGTTTGGAAATATATGAGTAACATGCTAGGGAAGGTGTATGATCTGACTCCGTAACAACCCTAAATTAACACTGCAACAACTTATTGTAACTACTAACTACCAGGACTAGAGTCGAACCTTCCAGCGATCGTCACGAATAAAACTCCCGTCCTTGTTGACACATTTGGCAGGAGTAAAACTGCCGACAAATGCAACTGTCTTCTCATAAGCGAGCCAATCCTCGACGTCCAGCTCGTCGGGCTTGGTGATGTAGTTGTCTGTCTCCTTATTGAAGTGGACCCTCTGTCGCTCAAGAGGGAACTTCGCTTCTAAAGCCTCCACCTGTTCCCCATTCTCGCGCTTGGTCACGCAGTCGAACAGGGATTCAACAACCGACTGTGATACGAGCTTTACGGTATAGTATTTACCCTTAAAAGCACAGACAGAATCCAGGTACGCCCTGAATAACTTTCTCAGCAGCTTCATAGATACCCAACATTGTCGGCCATGTAAGGATTATCGCTGAAGGTGAAACATGCAGAAGAGCAGGGGGAGCGTGACACCAATGCAAATATGTTGATACACGAGCTTAAACACCCGCATGAATGTGATCGCGTTGGGGTGAAGCTGTAAAGGCGCCAAAGCCAACCACTAGAATACCCCATTTTGGAAGTCGCTGAAGGGAAAACAAAACCCTGCTTTCCGAAAGCGAACTCGTACATCGGAAACCGCATCCTTTTGAACGACGGGCATGTCTAGTGCATTTCTCTAGGTTTGTAGACCATACCAGTTCGCGGAGGCCCTTCGACAAGATCCTCGACGATCACAAAAGCATCTGAATCGTCGAGGGTGAAGCGATGCTGCCAGGCTTCAACCCGACCACATGTCGCGCGTAACTAATGTCACCAACGTCTGGCCGCACGCATCACCCGACGGGCGGCACATCGAGCACATGTAACGCTCCTCTGGATAACTCCCTGCGACCCTCCTCGACATCAGGATTGACTTAAGTTATTACTCTTTTGCGTTGGAGCAACAATTTGGGGGCTCCTGCTCTGGACTGGGCCAGAGGCTGACTCACCGTCGGGCACGACCCAACCTAACTCCTCGTCGGGGAGGGCCCAATGAAGACCCAACTCATCATCTCACATAAGGAGCTCTCACGCATCTTCCCCCACAGTCTCCACGTGCTCCCCATGCGGGGACGCGTCATCAGCCAAATACTCGCGCTCGAGAGAACAGGTCCCCCGCCTTCCGAAGTTTACGGGGCATTTGGACCAGGATGAAGACCGCATGTTGGTTTTCCCTACACCATATAGATCCTGATAGTTATCCGTATTAGGCCTAATGATCCAACCCAATACTGATAACCATTGGCTCAACGTTAGGGGCTCATTATTAATACCCTCTTTCAGTAGAGGGTAAGGTATTCTAACTTTCTACGTCCTGTACTTGCTTTCTCTCACTCTCTTTATCACTTTAGCATCGAAGTGCCTTGCTGGTACACCCACTCCTCTTCTCCACCACCGACAAATTAAGAGCTTACGACGCGTTGCTGACTGCTGATATCTTTCTGGTCCGGTACGATCAGAAGGTGTGATGGTAGATGTATTCAAGGTTTAAATGTTAAGAGATTTTACTAAGATGTAGTTCTTAAAACACATATGTATATGTTGAATAATGTTAGTGAAGTTCAACCTTACTTGACCATTTAAAAAAGTCTTATCAAGGAAAAATTCTCCCGGATGAGTGAAAAAATATTGTTGATAGAGCATAACAAAACTTTCATAACCTGACTTAATGAAAGGGTTTCTAAAGAGAGTATTGCATCAGAGACAATAAAATTGATGCCACATATGCTTAAGTTTAATGTAATAAATTAAAGTGCATACGACATTACTAAATATACATTCTATACAAAATCAAAGGATGATCGTAGTACCGTGCAAAATAGTGGGGTTATGGTTGAAGCTGAATCCATGTGCTACAGGCGAAGTGATCAAGATCAAAATGTCTTCTGTCTAAGACACTTATTTTGTCGTAAGAGTAAGAACCAGTGCGGCAATATATTGAAGCATATGGATTGTCGATCAGATGTCAAGCTTGGGGACATCGTTACAGAGAATGGTGGGTCAATTTGCCTTTGATTCAACACGAATGATTGATACGAGAAAGGTAAATAATGATCAGAGTTTTGATAATCGAAACAATTACGATGACATAAGAGAGATACCTACAAGATTAGCAACTCAATGCTCATGTTAGCAAATGAGAAAGTTGGAACTTGCAGGTGTACAAATAAAATCGTACCTCGAGATACCAAATGGTCACATTATATAAAAATGACGATTAGAATTGTCACTAGTGGATACAACGCGAGTTACGTTATATCGTCATTATATATCAACGATTAAGATGAACACTATATTAAATCGATCCTTTGCGATCGTTTAGCCAGCCCAAAATAAAAATTATGTAAAGATCCAAAAGTATATAAAAAATACATATTCCCGTAAGAAAAACATCACTACATATTATCACAATATTCACTAATATATTGATAATTCTTTGTTTACGCACTTGCTAAGAAAATTATCCGTACTTCCAATCTAACTAATTTGTGTCTAATAAATAAAATGAGGTAGCATTACTACCGAGTACCAACTACGCGGCCTAGAAACTTTCCAATTTTCTAATTCACGGACGCGCGGCTTCCACACAGTTGACCATATGATTTTTTTTATTTACTTTGAACATGGTAAAAAAAATAATTTAAGATTATTTTTTACTCTACCGCCTTTAATGGTAATAAAATAAAAGAGGAGGGTTAACTTATAAATTAACTTTTGATTTTAATAATTTAGAAATTAAACTATAGTAGTTAAATTTTATTTTATTTTATTAAATTAATTGAGTTGATAGTTGTCGAAAAACATAAGTAGGTTTTCTATTTATTCACTTTTTAAGAAAGATTTTTAATAAATTATTTGACAAAAAGATTAAACTATTTATTTTCAAAAATTATATTAAATATAACTCTAATCATCTTTTTCTTTTTAAAAAAAGAAACTACTAATCATGATTTTTGATAAATTTTTAGGTATTCATGATTTTAATAAAGTATTTAATGTAAATTAATTTAAATTTTTTAATTTTATATAAATAAAATAAAATAAAAATGTGATGTGATATCAAATTTTATTATTTAATTGGAGGTATCAAAGTTTTTACCATAATTCTTTTAATCATAAAAATTTAATAATATTCTAATATAAAATAGACATATTAATCTAGCTAACTAACAAGTTGTTATTATTAAACATGAAAATTGCAATAAAACACAACCGTAATAAAAATACAAATTTGTTTTATATATATAAATCCATATTTAGGAGGGGTTAATTTTTTTTTCTTTCATTTCGACACCTAAAAAATAAAAGTATTTTTCATTTTAGAAGAAAACCTTGAAAAGCTTTTTTTTTTGTTAGAACGGTTTTCACAATCTATATTAAACCCTCTCCGTCTGATTTCCAACCTTATCTTAGGGTTTTCTGTTTCTTCATCTCTGTCAAACCAGATTTTATTCTCAATTATACATGAAGGATTTGAATTCCGATCTGTTTGACCCTGTTACGGTGATGGAATCCGAATGGGCTCACGGTGGTGGTTCCAATTCCGATGCCGATTTCGGTTTCGCTTTCAATGATAGTAATTTTTCCGATAGGATTCTTCGGATCGAGATCATGGCTGACCCTGTTGATCCTCAGCCGGATTCGGAAACTTGTACCACCATCGCCGATTGGGCCAGGCACCGTAAGAGGAGACGTGAGGATATCAAGAAAGATAACGGTATGGTATCCGTATCCGTATCCCTCTCTGCAATTTTTTTAATGAAAAGTTAATTTTTTTCATGGTTTTACTTTTTAGGGTTTCTAGCTTCTTTTTTTCAGTGATGAAATGAAACTGGAAATGGTTTGTTTCTAGATTTGTAGACATTTTAGGAAAGAGAAATATTGTTATGGGAAAATTAATAAAGGGGCTTGAAAGGGAAAACAGAAATTTAATTTGTGTTATTTTGAGAAACCTATTGCGTAAGTAGAAATTTGTGAGTGGTTGTGATAGGGACCAAAGCTATAGAACAAAGGTGGTTTTAGTGAATGAATTGATGTTTGTCTGTAATGTGATAGTTTTGGCTATGTTGGATATTGTTTGTATAGGTGATTTTATCTTCTTGTTATCCTCTTTTGCTTGCAGTTGGAGATCTGCCGGATGAGCAAATTTTGAATGGGAACCAACCTGATATGGATGATTGTGTTGCCTCGGAAAATCAAGATGAAGAGGTTGTTGCGATGGTTGAAGAATCCCCGTCTGGTAAACTTCAAAATCTTAAATTTAATTGTTCAATAATAAGACTAAGAGATTCTTACCTATGACGCACTAAACACGACACCGGTATTGACACTGACACGCGGGCACCGGTAATAATTTTAAAAGTAAATAAAATTAATAATAGTCGCAAAGGTCCGTTTTGAACACCGTGTCAAACGGACTCTTTTTCAGAGGTGCCGTTAGTCATTCTTACTAGTTTTCTCCTTACCCCCATTGCCCTTTGTTTGTATCTTCCATTACTTCATAGTACAATCTTGTTTTCTCGAGGGTTTGACCAATACATTTTCTCATTGAATTGCCACAATCTTGAAGATCATCACTATCAATCTATGAAAAAAGGGTATAAGTTATTAAGGAAATTAATCTGTTACAGAAATCATAATATTGTCTCTTGACTATGAAGCTATCATTATCGCTCTATGAACACTTTTGATTTTGATATGGTTAATGTAGGTGATGAAGCTGTAAATAGCAATGATGATTTAAACCTGGGCATGGATTACGCCGAACCTGCGGTTGTTAGATTTAAAACCCTACATATCAGTTCTCCTATCTTGGCCGCGAAAAGCCCTTTTTTCTATAAGGTAGAAAAACATCTCCTCTTTATATCATACGTTGTATAGTTCTGCCATTAATATGATTTTATAGCAATGTTTATTTGCCTTTTGCAGCTTTTCTCGAATGGGATGAGAGAATCAGAGCTGAGACATGTAACCCTCAGAATTAATGCCTCTGGTATAAACATATATGTAAACTTTTTTATGATCTTTGCTTTATGGTTTTAGTTATCCCTCAATAGTCATCTAATAAAGTTACTTCTTTTTAATATTACAGAAGAAGCTGCACTGATGGAGCTACTGAATTTTATGTATAGTAATACCTTGAGCATTAAGACTGCACCTGGTTTGCTTGATGTGTTGATGGCTGCCGACAAATTTGAAGTTGCTTCATGTATGCGATATTGTAGCCGGTTGTTGCGTAATATTGCCATGACTCCCGAGTCTGCATTGCTTTACCTGGAGCTGCCTTCTAGTGTCCTAATGGCCGAGGCAGTTCAACCATTGACTGATGCTGCAAAGCAGTATCTTGCTAGCCGATACAAAGATATAACCAAGCAAGTGTTTTTTATATTTTTTATATTAAATTCAGTTTCCCTTGCATAGATTCAAGCATCGCTAATTCTTATAAGTTTTTTCTCTATTACAAATTACTATTCAGTACTTCACTTTATCTTTCAAGAAGATCTTTCAATCGCACTTGTCAGGAACTAGAGATTTGGGGGCCAAAACGTTTTTTAAACTGTGTATTTCTTCTGTGCGTAGTGTCTAATTGTTGGAACTCTTGTAGGCGTTGCTTTTTTTTTAGATGACTGTTAGAACTCTTGTAGGCGTTGCTTTTTTTTAGATGACTGTTATATTTAAGTAGTCAAGTTATTTTAGAGAGGCTTTCTCTATTGGATTCCAAGACAGTCTTTCGGGAATAATATATTTCTCTTCCCTATTTATAAAACACTTGTTTCTTTTGTTGCCTTTCTTCATTGGTTTCATCTCAATTTCATATTTCTTTTCGAATGCTAATAACAATAAATCTTGTATTTGACCAGGTTCCAGGAAGAGGTTATGAACTTGCCCCTAGTTGGAGTAGAGGCAATATTGTCTAGTGATGATCTCCAGGTTGCGTCAGAAGATGCTGTTTATGACTTTGTGTTGAAGTGGGCTAGACAACAGTATAGCAATCTGGAAGAAAGACGACTAGTCCTAGGTTCACGGCTTGCAAGATTAATTCGCTTCCCTTATATGACCTGCCGAAAGCTTAAGAAGGTCTTAACTTGTAGTGACTTTGAACATGATGTTTCATCCAAGCTTGTACTTGAGGCCTTATTTTTCAAGGCAGAGGTTCCACATCGCCAACGGTCACTGGCAGCAGAAGAGCCTACATGCTCAAGCCGTCGTTTCTTGGAGAGGGCATACAAATATCGTCCTGTCAAGGTGGTTGAATTTGAACTTCCTCGCCAGCAGTGTGTGGTGTACTTGGATCTAAAGCGCGACGAGTGTAACAACTTGTTCCCATCTGGCCGGGTTTATTCTCAGGCATTTCACTTGGGTGGACAAGGGTTTTTTCTATCAGCACATTGCAACATGGATCAACAAAGCTCTTTCCATTGTTTTGGACTGTTTTTAGGAATGCAGGAAAAGGGCTCAGTGAGCTTCACCGTGGACTATGAATTTGCGGCGCGGTCAAGACCAACAGAGGAATTCGTCAGCAAGTACAAAGGCAATTACACATTCACTGGTGGCAAGGCCGTTGGCTATAGAAACTTGTTTGCGATCCCATGGACTTCCTTCATGGCTGAGGATTGTCTTTACTTCATCAATGGCGTTCTACACCTTAGGGCCGAGCTCACCATCAGACACTGACACGGTTTCCAATTTGTAAACACTATTCTGGTTGGTAGCTCTGTCAAATACTCATCTGTTGTAATATTGTTCTTTAATTAATATTCTGTAATGTTATGTTTACCTCTTCTAATGATGTTATGTTAGTTAACCTTCTGTTCTAGTATTCATAATTAGGCAATGTGCACTAGGTGTCTAGTGTTACATGAGATCAAAAGGATAATTAGGACTATGATTTTATTATGTTAATTAATGCTTAGACACGATGTGCACATTTTTACGATCCTACCAGAAGTTGGTTCTCTTGCAGGGGTGGATTTAATGTCATACAATGCTTAAAATTGCACAATACATGCATGTGTATAGCTGCTAAAATAAATTTGGATTTAATGTCATACATATGCTTAAAATTGCACAATACATGTATGTTTGGTTTGAAACTTGTCTATATATTGTTTAATTACCAAACTTCTACCTGTATCTATTGTTCTGTTTTTATATAAATGGCAAGGACACAAACAAGAGGTTGATGAATCATATTCTAATTCGATTAAAAACAAAGGATTTAAATTCGGACTTATGTGGTTATGGATGTGGAATCCGATTCACGACGAAAGGCACGGTATAGATGAATTTACAGAGTCACGTCACTTTAATATCTTTTCTAGAGAAAAACAAGAATAACATGACAGAGGCAAGTGGTGCACAAACGCCACCATGCTTATTTGGTGATAAAGGGACAAAAAGTTTAGACTTTTGTAAGTCATGGGAGTGAATTCAATGTTTCATTAGTGCTATTTATACATCATATTAAGTTTTGCTATACGTTTAACATATAGCAAGACATCAGTATACTTATTATACTGATGTAGTTTTCAGACATGGCAAAACATCTTGCTATATGTTTTAACAAAATTGATGTCAATCTCAAAATCACAAACCTAACCTTATATTTATTATAAATGGCCTATTACATCAGTATACTTATTACATCAATGTATTTCTCTAAAAATGTCAAATTTTAATATGTAAAAGATGATTACAAAAGTATACATATATAACTTACAGAGATGCATTTCTAGATTAAATCATAAAAAAAATGTGAGTATAACTCACTTACAAAAGAATGTAGTGTATATAAAATACGTATGAAAGTATACTTCCTCATACTTCCTAAATAAGTAAGAAATTTTTTGGATTTTTACATTGTGGCACCTCACCACTGAGAGTACAAAGAGCAACCCCACTTCATTTCATTCTGTTCCATCATCAAATTAAACAAAAACATGTTTAAAATATGAGACCAAGGTTTTGCTATTATCCTAAAAATTTTCTTTTAACCAAAGTAACTCAAGCTACAAACAATTATTTAACAAGTACTTTTGGAGAACATAGGTAAAGTAATCACATTTTAAAAATGACATTAAATAGTGTTGTAAATCGGATACCTTTAAATAAAGTATAAACGGTTTCTTAGCAAGAAACACACAAGGGTTAGGGTTAATAAAGAAGAAAACAACAAGGATTGGTTATTAAACTATTATTCTTTCCTTTCTCTTAGAACAAGATTACAAGTATACAAGAATAACAAAATAACCTCTCTCTTTAAATTAAGATTTTATCTTCCTATTTTTCCTTATGCCAAGATTGAGAAACTAACATCCTATTTATAATAAAATAGCACACTAACCTAATGGGCTTTTTAACAATTACCCATTACAAACCAACTTAGGGTACAAGCTAACTTAAACAATTAAGCTTACAAGCAAGGCCCAATTCAACATGCTAACAACCCTAGCAATATTGACTAATGCATGTTAGAACAAACTTCGACTACAACACGCATTACTTGCGAACAGACTTCGACTATACTAGAGTTCGATCCAACATCTCACAAATCTCCACCTTGGATCTAACTCTATAACATCAAGAAACTAGCTTTCTTCATGCAACTTTATTAACTGCATATAGTGGAAAAACTTGCAACTGGGCAACGTCTTGGTGATCATATCAGCAACATTATGATCTGTCGAAACCTTCAGCATTTGGACTTCTCCACGCTCGATTACCCCTCTGATGAAATGCAGCCTCACATCAATGTGCTTGGTTCGCTCATGATAGGCTGAATTCTTCGACAGGTGTATTGTACTTTGACTATCACATTTAACAGTGATAACTCGACCTTGAAGTTTTAGCTCCTTTGCAAAACCTTCAAGCCACAATGCTTCCTTCACAGCTTCAGTTAGGGAAATATACTCCGCTTCAGTAGTTGATAAGGCAACGAACTTCTGAAGTGTTGCTTTCCAACTGATTGATGTCCCAAACATAGTGAAAACATAGCCAGGGATAGATTTTCTGGAATCCATACAACCTGCATAATCAGAGTCGACATATCCATCGATTGCTGCTTTACTATCTTCACCCAAGGCTCCACCATAAATTAGGACTTATGTACCTTCAAATCCACTTCAATGCTTGCCAGTGAGCCTTTCTAGGATTCTCCATGTACCTGCTTACAAGACTTACTGCATATGCTATGTCGGGTCTAGTACAGACCATAACATACATCAAAGAACCTACTATGTTAGCATATGGAATGCTATTTGTTGCGGTGAAATTTGGATGTCAAGCTATTGATTAACTTGAATCTTAATTCATTTACAACCGGTCTTTGATTTATCCGAAGGAAAGGTTAAAGAAAGGAAAAACCTAAAAGGGAGAGATCTAAGGTTCGAGGGTTGGTTAAATTTAGGGAAGGTATTAGCACCCTAAACTTCCGTAGTACTCTACGGGAACCTTTTGTTTATTTTTTTTATTTATTTCATTAATTATTTTGCTTTAGGGTATATACAAAGGATTGAAAATTAAAAAAGACCTAGGGGTTAATTCTAAGTTTACTCGGCAAGACATCGCATCTTGTGCCTACATATCCTTACGGGAATGGAATCAGAGTAATTGTAGTTCCCCTCAAAAGGGAGGTTAGAAACGTCTTGACTGTGGCCAAGGTTTATTCAGAGACTCCAATCTCTATGTTAAAAAAAATGTTAATTAAAATTAAAATAGGGTTAAATTAGGGATTCCACGGCGGAAAACCTTAAAACAGAGTACAACGACTCTTTTGGCCTAACACTAGGATAAAAGCAATTTTGCCTACGGCGGGACACCTAGGCTAAACAGGGTTTGATCCATTAAAGGGGTAAGGCTATTGACTCGGCGGCCAAAAGGCTGGACCTAATCCTTCGGAAGGATAAAACTGTAAAAAAAATGTGAAAATATGACAAATCATTATGTGGAGGAATAATTAAGGTACAGAAATAAGAAAAGTAATAAAGGCAGAGAGTATAAAGAAATAAAGAAACATTTCTGAAAACATGAAGAATATGAAAATATGTAATAACACTTAGAATGAAGTGAGGGAGGAAAATAGTGTGGGGTTGTGGCCACCACAAGCACATCTCAACCTCGAGCATGCACATGAAATGCCAAAAGAAAAAAAAGTAATAAAAGGGTACATAAAATGACACGACAAACATCAAACATCAGGAGTTCCTTACGAAAAGGTTTTAATTTTTTAATATTTTAATTATAAAAAAAAGGTTTTAATTTTTTAATAAAAAATATTTAAGTTAAAATTATAAAAAAAAAATTAAGTTTAAATTATAAAAAAAAGTTTTTGGGGGAAAAGTCTTTTCAGTTTTTTTTAGAACAAAAAAGGCTTTTCATCCCAAAAAAAAGCTTTTAGTTTTTTGGGAAAAGGTTTTTTTGGGAACAAAAAGGTTTTTTTTTTCTTCGGAACAAAAAAGACTTTTCAGTTTTTAAAAAAAAGGTCTTACTAAAAAAAGGTTTTAATAATAAATAAAAAAAGGGTTTTGATTTTAAAAAAGGTTTTGTTAAAAAAGGGTTTTGATATTAAAATCTACGGACCTAAACACACATGGAGATTAACATGGCAAAATATGCACATAAACATGAAAAAGCAAAAGGTTTAGTAATTTAACGGACCTAAACACATTAACATGACAAAATATGCACATAAACATGAAAAGGCAAAAGATTTAATAATTTAACCTACGAAGCGGAGGTTTGCTTTGGTAAATGTGAAAAAGGTTTGAATAAGGGAACACTGGAGAGCTCCAATTCTTCTGATGAGTTGTGGGAACGACCGCCTTTCTTCTCTGGGGATCTCCTTTGTTTCTCCCTTTCTCTCTCCTCTTTTCTGAAGAAAAACCTTCTGAACCCTCTCACACTCACAACTCCTTACACATGTCCTCTTGCCAATTGTGTCATTTTTACTTTTTAGAAAAAAAATGCATGCTATATGATATTTACCTGCAAAAAGTCAAACGACTACACAAATTTGTTAGTAATTGATTAAATGCAATAAAAATGCAATGAAATGCGACGACAAATCCTAGGGCAAAATTTGGGGTATTACAGTTGCCCCTATTTAAATAACTTCACCGGGTGATTTGAGCAACGGAGACTCGAGAAATCATGGTGGAGGGATTTAAATACAGATAACCGAAAATTTTGCCTTTAGACGCAATGCTATGCAATGATATGGACAAAACAAAACGAACTATAATGCTAAATATGATATGAATCTGATATGATGCGTATGATGAAAATGACAAATGCACGGATACAGACGAAACAACGTCACAGGGGACGACCCACCGAGGAATTGCACTAGGGAAGAAGACATGTCATATCTGGAAGAACGTCAGATAGACACGACACAGAATTGTTGATAGGTGCCAAGTAAATTAGAAATTGTCTGCAAGGTAAGACGCGGGTAAAACACGAGCTCAGGAGAAAAACGCAAATGAGGATAAAGCACCCATGATGCCAAGTAAATAAATTTTGCCCACAAGGTAAGACACGAGTAAAACACGACCTCAGGGAGAGAAAAAAAGTAAATGGGGGTAAAACACCATGATGTTAGGTAAACCCAAGAATATCTGGTAAACGGGGAATAAAACACCCGGGATAAAGGTACATGGGGGATAAAACACCCAAGG